GAAGTTAGGATTAAGGTCTTTTTCTTAACTCTGTTCATGTTATAACATTTTTGCTGTGAAGAAGAGGCATGTGATCTCCGCTGAGTCAAATTCAGTTTTGAGAACTGCAAAAGTAAACCAAGCATCTGTGATAATATCTTGTAGGCAGAGAAACTGCCCAATAATCTTACAAAAACCTCTGGAAGAGCATGACATTGTGAATGGATTAATGGAATTTATTTACCAAAAAAATTAAACATATACAGCCTTATTCTACATAATTAAAAAACTAATCTTTATTTCATGATGGAATAACCTTTGGATGGTAATATACTTTCCTCAAAAAGCATTTTATTCAAAAAAATCCGATTTAAATAAAAAAAGATCGGATTTTTTTTTTTAGATTTTTTTAAAAAAAAATCATTGATTTTTATCCACCCTGGTCTAAAGTAAGTTGAAAAATAACACTTTTATTAACACAACTAGCTGCATCACCAGGTGCAAATAAATGTAAAAGCCTTACTATTGCATATATACTCCTTCATGTTAAAGTATATTTTGTGCAATGAATGGTATTTTCTCAGGACAGGAAATTAAACTCATTGATTTAATGGCTTTACAAAACTGGCACATTCAAGGCATGCTCTGAATGGTGACTTAACAAAACTATCAAGCCATTGAATGGCTGGTGTCCTAACTGATCACCATGGGAACTGCAGATCAAACTGAGGCTAAGATGGCAGCTTTCTTGGTTAAGTGCAATACCCTAAAGAAAATAATATTCTGTGTGCAAATGCTTCATGCTATTTTCTTGTATCTGCAGACCAATCTCAGAGTTTGATATAGGTGCCTAAATTTTGAATTTGGTAAACCGTTTAGGCCAGATTTACAGTTACATTGTGGTAATGCATGTTCTGTTATGTTGTCACCAGTGTTGCAGTACACAACAGCACATAGTAACACAGTTGTGCTGTGGGGCACATAAAAATAGCGAATGCCGCTTTTTTTGTGTGCTTTGGGAGCCCATTCAAATGAACGAATTTGGTCCTTGAGCAGCTCCCTGTTGCCTTCGTTGGTGATGTGGCATTCAACTACTCCTTCCATTGATGCAATGCATTGTGTGAGAACTGTACATGAGAAGGCAGAAGGTGGGTGGGTTAGCAGTTTAACTCTTCAGACTAGTAATGAGGTCTGTTAACGCACCCAGTCCAGTACCTAGATAGCTGCTATGAGCAAGATGCAGCAGCCATGAAGGAGACACTGAAGGAAAGAATTCTTCAAGAAGCAGCAGCAACCTGCTTTTTTAAGTCTTAAGCTCACTGGACCAGTTCCTCTGAACATCTTTTCTCCTGACAGTAGAAAAGCCATGTTAAAAACGCTCTTAAAGCTGTGTTTTGTAAATGCATTTGTGTTCATCCATTTCATTGGACAGAATATTATTTATTCTGGTCATTGAAATGAATGAAGGCTCAAGTGCTAAACTTGCCTAGCATTTAGGCTCGTTTACACATGTTCAGCAATTTTTTTTTTCTGCCGAAACTCTTCTCACATGGATGTGCAAGTGATGATGTTTTTTTTTTTTGTTTGTTTCCCCCCCTCGCCTCTCAACGCTTGTAAACACAGGGACACATAGGCTAACATGGAGAGGCATTTTAGAGGCAGAACAAAAATAAAATCTTCAAACACACTTAAAAGTGGTGTATTTAACACTTAGTGTGCTTAACACCACAATAGCCAATTTAAAATATTTTTTTGTTTTTAGGCCTAATCGTAGCTAATGGGTTTCTAGAGTTTTTTTAGCTGTAAAAACGCTTACGCTGAAAAACGTGGCAAACCAGTGTTTTTTTAGCAAAAAAAAAACGCGGCTAAACGCTAATGCAAAAATGCTGAAAAACTCATGTTTTTAATGTGACTTTACACCGCTAGCGTTACCAGCATTAATAAAACGCCCAGTGTGCATGGAGCCTTACAGCTAAGGAAGCTGCCATCTATTTGATCTGCAACTGCCATGGAGCTTCACATATAATCCGTTATAACACCAGTCATTTGTTGGTTTGACTGTTTGGCACATGTGACAGTTGGCAATCCTGGCATGTTCTGGGAATGTAACTTTTTTGAAACTTTTAAATCGATAGCTTTAGTTCCACTTTAATCTTTAGACTGTCAGCAGATCCGCCTCTACAAATTTGGCACAGTGCCTAAAAATGCCTAGGAATAAAGATCAATTGAGCATGTACAGAGCATGTTGATTCAGTATATTACTGGATTTTAAACAGTATGGGCACTTATTTTTAATGTTTTACATAGCTATACCTGCAAAAAGGACCAGCCTGAAGTGATCTAGCAAGACTTAATTTTCTGACTAAAGTTCCACTTTAACCATTTCCATACTGGGCACTTTTACCCCCTTCCTGTCCAGGCAATTTTTCAGGTTTCAGCGCTCTCACACTTTGAATGACAATTGCACTGTCATGCAACATTAAACCCAAACTAAAATTTTATCATTTTCTTCACACAACTAGAGCTTTCTTTTGGTGGTATTAAATCACCACTGGGGTTTTTATTTTTTGCTAAATTAACAAAAAAAGAACGAAAATTAAAAAAAAAAAAAAAAACACGTTTTTCTTTCTGTTATAAAAGTTTTCAAATAAATAATTGTTCTTCATAAATTTAGGCTAAGATGTGTTCTGCTACATGTCTTTGGTGAAAATAACCCAAATTAGGATGTATTTTTTAGTTTGTAGGAAAGTTATAGAGTTCACAAACTATGGTATAGATCTGAATATTGATCAATTGATCAAAGTACTCACAGCCAATTCTTGAGGTCCAAGAATGTCAGAACAGTACAGATATCCCCCAAATGACCCCTTTTTGCAAAGTAGACAGTCCGACGTACTTCATAAGAGGCATATCGAGTTTTTTGAAGTTGTATTTTTTTTCGGAAAATGAAAAAATTCAAAACATTTTCACCAGTGCAGTACAGCGGCATCATATAACTGGCATGGCAGTGATCAGGGACACTGGTGACAGTATGAAAAAAATTATATATAATTTTTTTTTATTAATTTTTTATTACATTTTTTTTTTAAAGATTTTATTTTTCATATTTCACTATGACCAAAGTAGTATAATGTTACCATAGTAACATTGTACTACTATGGGGAAGTGATCAGTATTTTTTTTTTACACAATTTACTTATAGCAAAGAATTACTTTGCTATAAGCAAGCATTTACCTGAATGATATCGATTCATTCAAGGTTTTTTTTTTTTTTTTTTTTTTTTTTTTCTTTTGTGCTTAGCTGTGATTTGGCCACGGCTAATCACATGACACATGCATGTGATCGCTGTGACCATTCACGGCTAGACACTAGTTTACAATGGATGGCATGAATGAAGCCATCCATTGTATACAACTGTCATGTGACCTGCTGTCATTGGTCACAGCAGGTCACATGGTACCGGCAACGGGTCAGATCTGATCTGACTCAGATCTGTCATCGGCCATGTCCGAGGTACACGGCCGGTGACAGATCGCGCCACTGGGCGGCTCTGCAGGCGCACAAACTGCGCATGCCCGGGAGGACGCCATATGGCGTCCACCCGGAACGCTGAAGGATTTTGCCGGCCGCCGAACGGCCATTCGCCGGGCGGCTAATGGTTTACCACTTGAGCCCCTGGTTAATTCTGACATTCCTCGCCTACAAAAAATCAGCATTGAATTACATTGATCCCCCAAACAAATTTTTTTTTAAGCAAAGGCCCTAAGTTAATAAATTTTAGTGAAAACAAACAAAATATAGTACCCAATTTTTTGGTAAAATATGAAAGATGTTATGCCGAGTAAATATATACAAAACATGATGCGCTTTAAAATTGTGCAAACCTGTGGAATGGTGACAAACTGTGTTGCATTAAATTATCCATAGGTGACGCTTTAAAAGCCTTTACAAGTTACCAGTTTAGAGTCAAACAGGAGATCTGACACAGATTACAGGTTACCACTTTAGATTTACACACAAAAGGCCTGATGCTAGAATTCTCGCTCTGATGTTATACATCACCTGTGATGCGATCCTTGTTTGCCATGACAGGTCCTTTTTATGGAGAGATCTGGGATCGGAGACCCTAGAACCCTCATCTGACCTCCAATGCAGCCTATAAACCCAAGATCAGTTTAATATGCTGCTACACAGGCCAGCAAATGGCTTGAAGAGGAACCAGATCCTTGTAGATTCTTGTTTGATGTCACACAGTGGGAGGAACGAGACGAGTTCCTCGCTTTGTTCAGGGAAGCCGATGCCATCAATTACATCCTAACCAGGCTACTCGGGATTGGGAGAGCCCTGTAAAGGCAGCAGGTTTGGGGTGGGGAATGTACTCCAGTGGCTTCTTAGCTGCTAGAATTACATTTTACAGTTAAGGGAATTTCAGGCAGAAGAAAATGATATCCCTATCTTTGCTGCATTGATACCTGAGATATCACACATCCAATCCAGCCGCATACCGGTATATTGCTGGTCGTCAAGTGGTTAATTTTCTAATGAATTGATATTTAAACATTTTCTAACCATCGCAATAGAAACCTCATTAAAACACTGTCGGTGATACCGGTGTGCTTCCCTTTCCTTACTGTCAGCTATAAGTCTATGGTATACTGAAAATGTATAACAGTAAGGAATGGAAGGAAGTAGTTAATTGGCGTTACCAGTTTTCTATCTACAGCTATATAATACTGCAGCAGCCCTAAAACCCAACAATGTGTGTCATGTAGAATCTAAACCCCCCCATTTTTGTACTAGATCCGTTTTTAAAAAAATGGAACAACTTTATTTGAAGTGAAACATTTTATCAGTGGTTTTCCTTCTCCTATATATAGTGTGACCACATCTGCATACAAGTAACCTGAATAACTTTTTTTCTATGTTCTTGGTATGGTCACAAAGGTGTGACCCACATTTTGTTTCATTGCTATTGATGTAACTTCTTTTCACACGTGTACTTATTTTTTTTCCCTGACAGACCAGATCATTTAAGTTGTCATGTGAAGCATGTGCATTCTACCGAACGACCATTCAAATGCCAAGTAAGAACAACATTTTTTGTTAACTTCAGCGTTTATTGGATTTATCGGCATATTTTATTTGCACTCTTATCTGCTGATGAATGCGCACAGTGAGTACAGAAAGTTTTTATGTAAAAAGGATTAGCTTGGCTATACCGATCTTTACAGTAGACGTTATGAAAGTTTTATACAGGAGTCATAAAAATGGTAAGGCCATGCATAAACACTTACTGTACAACTGTGGTAATTAAGCAGCTGTGCTTGTATTATTGGTTTTTGCATCTACAGTGCATGTTTAGATAACATACAAGTGAAATGTAAAATTTATGCTAAAAACTATATTCATTGCAATGTGGTTTTGTTAAATTATTTTTTTGTAGCAAAAGGTACATTATAATGTAACATTCAGGGCCAGTTCACACTACATGTGTTTCAGTTGCTTTTTTTTTCTGCATCTAAAACACACAGAAAGTAGGTTATATGGTTGTCAATGTCATAGTTCACATCAGTGCTTGCAGTTCCAGTTGCAGGGAAAATAAAAGTAAACCAGGCTGCAATTGCCTGTGCACTGTACTGGAACGTGGTAAAACACACTGGAATGCACATGTCTCTATTTAAATTGAAGAAAGAGAGGGAAAAAATTAACTGTAAAGAATCAAAAACACACTGGAATGCACCAGAAAACGCACATACAGAAACGCATCTGGACTACCTTTTTATAGTTTGAACTGGCCCTAAAGTTTCATGATTAAAGTATACCTAAGCCCAGAACCAAAAATGTATTATTTTGCAGCTTACTAAATTTTTCAAATTAATGTATTTATTTTTTATAGCGGCTACATTGTTTTAAAGCTTATTTTACTTTTATTTTCAATATTACAAATTGCCTATCCCTGGGTGGCTACATCACTCCTCCATGGTATCTGTGGAGGGAGGCATGGTTGTTACCCTCGCCCAGGCCCTGCAGATATGAGATATGGGACACAACAGGGCTCAGCAAATCCCAGGCACCAGATCGCCATGACTAAAAATTGTGTTCTGGCTCCTGGGCTTTTGTCAGTTCCTGCTGCAAACTCACACAGGGGGCAGTTGCAAAGCAGAGAGATGAGAGCGTGCTGCTGTAGGAGAGGGGTGGAGTTGAAGGAGGCGGGGCACGGTGGTGTTGATGTCTTCTTGTGTGGTGTGAGGGAGGAGGAGGCAGGCGAGACACCGGAGGATTTCACCGAATTGGGGGAGGGGGGTTGGTATTGGAGGCATAGATGTGCTAGATGGGGGAGTATTGGAGGCATAGGTGTTCTAGATGGGAGAGTATTGGAGGCATAGGTGTGCTGGGGGAGCGGGATTTGCTGGATTGGAGGCATAGATGTGCTAGATGGGGTTATTGGAGGCATAGATGGGGGTGGAGGGTGTGGATTGGAGGCATAGGTGGGCTGGATCGAGAAAGTGGTGGAAATCAGGACAGTAATGGTGGGACTGGGGTCAGTAATTGGGAGCTCAGGACAGTAATGTGGGTGTAATTTGCAAAGAGTTGGGGGGATTTGTTTGTGAAAATTGGTGAGAGGGCAGTCTATTCTAGGCAGCCTATAAACCCCGATGTAATGTCGAGTTATTGGCTGGCTGCTCTGCAATAAATAAGTTAGGGTTAAGGGGGCGCAAATTACTTGCCTTTCCTGGGCGCTGACCATTCAAGATACGCTAAAGGAAATTGGCTCCTGGATTCAAAACAAATTTGTCAAGCCCTGGACTATAAACCTGTCCCGATCTCCATTTTTGTTACACTGGGGGCAGGACAATTGGTAGTTCACAAAATATAGCTAGGAAGGAAGATATTCTTTTGGTGCAGCTTACAGGAAGTGACAAGGACCCAGCATTTATGGCAAGATCAACAGGTATTTTCTGAAAATATTTTTAGCTTTGGGGGGAGGACCATGCAGCCTCCACATCTAAGGCTGCATTCGCACTTGAGTGTTTCGTAGCTTGAAGCTCCAAAAATGCTCAAACTAAAAAATTCAATTGTTCTCTATGGTTGCCTGTTTGCGTGATCAGGTGTGAACAGGCACCATAGAGAACAATTGATTTTTTAAGTTTGAGCTTTTTTGGAGCTTCAAACTACAAAATGCTCAAGTGTGAATTCAGCCTAAGAACTGTAAGCTGCAATATATAGTATTTGTGTTCTTGTGTTTAATTATCCTTTAATGCAGGTCATAGATGAGTAGAAAAATGAATGATTCGTTGAGCAAAAATCAACATTTTTTTTTTCTGTTTGTCATATGATTTACCATCGTTTTGGCCTTTTCCGGGATAACTTTATATATATATATATTCATCTGCAGAAGAGATGCAATGTATTTCCTATAGTAGAAAACCACACAATGCACTATGGTCATCAGTATAAGATCTGACAAAACTTTGCTGACCGAACATTAATTTTGCCTGTGCATTTTTCTGTTTTATTTCTTTTTGAGCAATAACCCTATCCACAAATTATAAATTCGATCTGCTAAAAATTTTCAATATGTTCCATAGGTCATTTTCGATGCCTACACAAAAATAGTCTCTGGGTGTGGGCACAGTTGTTCTTTGGACGTGAAATTATGTTCGTTTTTCGACTCATGTATGGCCTGCCTTAAGTCTCTAGCAAATTGTCAAAAACATTTTAGTAGTACTATTCACTACTGTTTTAAAAAAAAAGACTGCTGCTAAAATATTGCATATGCTAACCTATGGAAAAGGGTTTACTTAGAATGCAGTTTGAACATATTCAAACTGAATTGGCCTCTGTGTCAGACTGTATCTTTTATATTACAATGAACAAAAGGTGCCTCAAGCTGTTAGCTTGTTGATGGCAGGCACATAGCTTTTGTAATTCCAGGTCCATTACTATAAATAAACATTGAAGAAATGCACTGAATGCAGCTTTGTCAATAATGATTCATTCATGGCAATAGAAACTAGCAAGGACTTGGTCAATTCCAGAAGCTGCTGTTAACATTTTAAATTGTCAACTGTTGGAAGGACTTGAGTCAATAGAAGTTGTAAAATTCTTCTCTTTCAGACCTGTACTGCTGCCTTTGCCACCAAAGACAGGCTGCGGACACACATGGTGCGCCATGAAGGAAAGGTGTCTTGTAATATATGTGGCAAACTTCTTAGTGCAGCCTACATCACAAGTCACTTAAAGACACATGGCCAAAGTCAAAGTATTAATTGTAATACCTGTAAGCAAGGTAAAAAGTTTCAAGGTAAATATCTTTAATTCTGCTATATTATCTTAATTGTTCTGTATATTTATGGCCTGCACTGTCAAAATCATTGCTTCTTTTAGTATTTGTCTTTCTAAGAGCTTGCGTTGACAGGCTTTTGGCTTGTGGTATGACATCAGTTTGAGAGGCTTCTGAGATTACTTCGAACTTGACGGGAGCATTTAACTTGAAGTTTACCTCCTTTTGGCCTGCATATGACCTACTTCAAGCACATTTATGCATTTCAATCGGCCTGTATTGGGAATGCAAAACTCATCTGACATGAACAAAAGCCTATCAACACAAGCCCTAAAAATCCTTTAGAATAATTAATTGCCTCTTAAAAGTATTTGAAATTACCTTGGTTATTGAAAATTGTAATGGACATGAGGTTTGCAAAGTGGTAAATGTGAATTCAGCCTTTTCAGGCATCATTATTAGATAGAAAAAAGTACTTCTGTGCCCCATAAGTATTACATAGGAGCTGCAGCCTATGGTGTTTACAGCTTCCAGCAGCACTGCTTCTATGACCAGGCTCTGATGTGCTCTTGTTATCCTAGATTTGTAGTGTTTCTCCTGGTTTACCTTACAAAATAGTGTTAACAAATGTGTGTTCATCAGAGTGTCTGTCTTCCATATATAATCCTTTTCCTAAAATGTACTACTTGTCTGCAGTGTACTTCACCATCTAGGTTCCTGTTCCTTCTAGGCCTATAATTTCAAAGGTGCGATTTAAGATTAAAGCCCGCTTGAACTTGCCTGCTAAATGCTGTGAATACATTTCTGTAAAATAGTATGTAATCACAACCTTGCTGATAAAGCAGCCACAGTGAAATAGCCCATCCCACGCTGTCATGCTCCTGAGGGAGATTGTAGAAGCAGTGGCCTCTCTGCATTGGTCTGACAGCACTCTCCATTTAGTAGTGTGAGCTTTGCTGAATGGGGAGCTGTGACTGATTCACAGAGGGCATGTCAGACTGCTTCCAGTTGATGTGGGACATGCTGTTGCACTATGGCTGTGGCTGCTTAATCATCAGTTTAATGCATCTGAAATCTATTGCCACAGTTTTACAGCAGAATTCAATTGGGCTTTACAGCTAGACATGCAAGATCATGGATAAACCACCAAATGATTGCATATACCTGCAGCAGATTAATGGATTTTGCTGAAACCATTGGGGCTAATGTTAACATGGGAAGGTTGGCAGCAGCAAAGGGCTAAGGAAATCTATTTGACTGTTGGCCTGCTCCACCCTATAACATTCAGCTGTGGGTATTCCCTTGAATACATAAAAATAACAAGTACTTTAACCACTTTGTCTCTCAGACCTGTTCACCCCTTATGGACCAGAGCATTTTTAAATTTCTGATATGGACCTGTTTATTCAGTAATAACTTTGTCGTTACATAAAATAACGTAAAACGTATTGTTTTTTAATGTACAAACAAGGCTTTCTTTTCGTGAATATTGTCTTATAGCAATTATATTTTTTTCGCAATTCTTAGACAAACCTAACAAAACACACTTTACTTTTTTTTTAAGCAGAGTTAATTTAAAAAAAAGTGTTACTGCACATGAAAAGTGTGCATTTTATTCTGTATTTGTCCTGTTTAAAATTACACTAAAATTATGATTCTGGTACAAAGCATTGCAGAGTTACTTACAAATGAAGTAAAGTGTTTTTTGTTTTTTTGTTTTTTTAATGTGATAAGTGTAAACATATGTTAAAGGTGTAAAAATATTAACGAACAAAGTAAACAAAGTTTAAATATTATTAAATAGAAACAAACAAAAATTCCCGAAAATTATAATTGAATGAAGGCGAATATGAAGTTAATTAGGGATGATCAGAGTAAACTAAAGGTTAATAAGGGAAATAAACAGAGGAGGAACATTTAATTACAAACAAAAAGCAAATATTTTATTTATTTATTTTTTTTGTCAGGTTGCTTTAACTGACTTCATCTGCAGATCGAAGTTCATCCCTTTGATCTGTAGATAAATAAACCGAAAGATGCAAAATTAAAAATATTTTTGTATCTTTCTTTATTAGTGGCTAAGCAGTGTCGTTGATAAACATTGTCAGCCTTTTTTTTTTTCTTTTTAATATACAGCTCCAGTTGCCAGGACCTTTGGGACGGGGAGTCCCGGCAGCAGGGCAGAAGGACTGGACGTTCACATGTACACATGCCCTATGTACAATTATGACATTTGTTTGGGTATGTGTAGCACGTCCAAAGTCTGCAACTGGTTAAACCTCAGTTTTAGAAACACAGGAGTCATCCACAAGCATAAACGTATATGCTCCAAAAACATTTTGGATAGTGGGCAATGGTTACAACTTCTGCCTGGTTCAAAAACACTGTGTCTAAATTTAGGATTGTTTTTTAATTTTATTTATGTATTTATTTTTTAATATTACTGTTCTGAGTGAAGAGAGGCTTTCCAAATCAGGAAACCGATTACGATAAAATGTCAACGGGGGTACTTAATAATTTTATCCAAGTATAAAAGGTCTGTCTGAAGAAGGGTTTGGAGTCCCATAAATATGTTTAAATTTCTCTGTAAAGATAAAGAATCCCAGGAAATAACAGTAGATCAGTGTATAACTGGGAGCAAAAAAATGATCTGTCCAGTTACTCTGCTTAGTTGGCATGCTGTAGGACAAAGTTCTAAGTCTATCCCTGTAAATGAAATATGTCTACTCACAGCAGTGTGCTTAGTATTGGATAACTCATGGTCCTCCTCGCTCCATCCTTCTGTCTGCCCTTCACTGCATGACAGGAGGACATCACTGCATGGACCTGGCTGCAGATGAATCCAACATTCTAAAGGATGGTATAGTAAGACCATATAATCAAATGTGGTTTTATAAGCCAGTAGTAGGGGAAGAGAGCTGAAAATTTGTGCAGGGATATCTGCGTGTACTTAAGGTGACTGTATACCTGATTTCTCCTATGTTCATCAAAGGATACAGCTCTTCTATTCTTGACCATAGGGTTTTATAGCACCACTTACAGCAGTAGGACACTACGCAGAAAAGAAAACAGAACTGCCCATAGGCAGTGATATCTGTTTAAAATTCCCTTTCTGCTATAGGCAAGCCAGGTATTTCTGCATAGTGTTTAAGGAGCAAGGACCTAGTTCCCTGATGGGACCTATGGGTCCATAGCTTTGTTTTCCTTTTTTCTCTTTTCTTGGGATTTTTTTTTCCTGCAAAGATCTTCAGTCAACACCTGGACTGAGTGAAAAGCTCAGTAATCTAGTAATCACCCCAGTCTGACTATCGAGCGCACACAGATCTTTAGCTATGTGCTGGACTGGCTGGCAAAGCCCCAACCTATACTGGGAGAGCCAGAGAGTTCAACGTCTTGCAGGTGTACCTATGAGCGAGCACTTGACGTCTGTGTCACAGTGCTACCCTAGCTGACAGTCCCCAGTTTTGGGCACCCATTAGATGGGTAGCAGCCCCGCTGTAATCCATGTGCACCATGCATTGAGTGGCAGACACATGTCTATTATTCTCTGAAAAGAGGATGCGTCCGCTATTGCCATGCAAGAATAGGCCCTGGTCGCTGGCCCACTTATCCAGTGCTGGAAACATTACTAAATGTAGATCAAGTGGGAAAGTGGCTGTTCCCTTTGGTAACCATACACTGGCTAATTCTGCCTAGGTTTTTACTTACCCCCGCATACTTTGCTAAATTTATCTACAAGGATGGAAATGTCCGAAAAGTGCTTTCATGGTCCCTAGGTGTTTTTCGCAATGTTATCCCTTTGAGGAGGCCCTTCTAAAAAAAAAAAGCGGTCCTCTTTTCCTGTGCTGGATCCCCCCCCAATCGTTTGGTAGAATAACCATGAATACTGGTGGAGGAATCTACCACATTTAAGGATCCTGTGGACCGTAAGGTGACATCGTTCGCCTGCACTGTTTACTATTGCTGGTTTGGCACTGGGGCCAGCGTTGGCCGCGGCCTTGGCGTCTCAGGCGCTTACTGAATGGGCCAAAATTTCTTGACAAGATTTGAATGCAGGATCGTACGGGTAGCAAGAGTACTTTTCCTCCAAAAGGCTAAGAAGGGAAAGGAACCATGTCATAAGCCCTTATCGTGGACCTTCCTCATTCCCAACAAGAAGGTCCAACTGATTGTGTCCAGCTACAAAATAGGATTTTATTCTTGTTCAAAAGAGAAATTCTTACTGCCCAAAATTTGCCTCCACCAGTGTACACTGCAACTACGTGCCTCCATAGCAAGTTGTGTGCTATGGGGGCAGTAGTGTGGGCACGATGCCAAGTCGGGCTATGTGCGTCCATAGGTGTACTCTGTGGCTTGGCCCCACTCCCTGCTCCCTTCACACTGGATTTGACTGACAGCAGTGGGAGCAATCTCCGTAAAGCCTGTGAGACCAGGAAGAGGGCAGCGATGCTGCAGACAGGCATAGTACTGGATTGAGAGTGAACTTGGGTAAGTGTTTGGGGAAGGGGTGAGGGCCAGGGAACAGGCAGTGGAGTCATTGTTGACAGGTTAACATTTTTTTTTTCTTTAAAATGTATTAAACAAGCTTTACTTCTCTTAAAGTGTTTTGTGTTGTGCACCCTCTTTTTGGTAGGTGTGAAATTGTTGAAATGTCTGATCTGTAGTGCTATATAACAAATCAACACTGGTCATTTTTAATTGTAGGTCAACTTCATGAACTTCAAACTCCAGTTCATTGCAGAATTAAATATGAAGGTATTTGAATTTTTCTATACAATGTATTATTTTTTTTTCTGTTTTGAATTTAAGATTATTGGGTGGCATATACTTCACTCTGTGTCATAGTTCTTTATCTGCCTCCTCCTTAGCTTTTAAAGACTGTAGGTTCCTAAAAGTATTACACCACACAGATGCTCCGTTACAGCTTTTGTTCAGAAGGCAAGTTGCCTGTGAGTTGGAAGCAGTTCATCAAATAATTTTTATATGAGCGCTAAGATTTTAAGGCAAATCCTTATTTACAATAACTGCATCCAAT